TCATTATTGCTACCTGGGCTGGTAATTATTTCCAAATCTGATGGTTTACCGTAGCTGTAAATTAAGTTTATCTTCAGTAATGCCAAGACTTCGATAGAGAACACTAATGGAAGACACGGGAAAAATGAGACGTGCAACAAAAGTTTGAGATGCAATTATCACCTAATAGAATAACAGAGATTGAAGGAAAAAAAGGGATTGGAACAATAGAAGAGCAAAGAAGTCGTTACATCCACTCGTTGATTCTTACCATCTAGGTAACAATCCCCCAATTGTAAAATCATCCTAGCCGTGCTTTGAGTTCCTATAATATCAAACCCAAGAATTACTATCAATATAAGCCATTAAAAACACAAGACATGCGACAAACATTCAAAATACAATTCCTATCGAGTAGAAAAGAGAGATTGAAAGAAAACTGCCAAAGCAAAAGAATACCATCAACAGAAAACACGAGAAAAACACGACATGCAACAAAACTCTCCAAATATAATTTCCACCCAGTAGAATCCAAAGGATCGAAAAGACGAAAGAGTAAATGATTCATCATGTAAGATCTCCACAAAGCTCTCAACCACATCTTGTAAGCTCTCCATACCCATCTTCATACCCCCCAAAAATACCATCCACTATCATCCAAGACCCGCCCTACTTAACCAGCCATATAGTATATATTCGATGAAATACTCCACTATTAAGAACATCAGTGGGTGTATGTGTGTATTGACAGGACACTACAAAAATGGCCTTGTGAATATCTCTCGATGTATCAAATTGGATATCTTGGAAGTTGCTGTAATCAATTAACTGATTTGAAACCATCAAATTATGAGTTTTGATATGAAGTGATTGAAGACCGAATTTATTAGAAATTTCGAAAGTTGGGAAGTGCTATGTCAATCCATGCACCTACTGGTGGAAGTCTCATCTCATGTAATAATATAACATATCAACCGTCTTAATTCAACCCAAAAGATCACAATACCAATCACCAATCACCAATCACTTAATGACTATAAATAGATCTTAGAGAACGTTTTCGAAAACGCTATATATATGTAATGCTGTCTCATTTCTATTATGACCAGCCCCAAAGCTCTATACCCAACCCTGTCCTCTCTATTTATAATCCCATCCTGGCCTCTAATCCCTTTTCCCTTAATGACGTTGAATTTTATAAGCACGCTATAGCTCTCCCCACTATGAATTCGATCATTGATAATGATCTCCCACGCCCTGAGGTTTTTGCACATTGTGCTTTTAACCTATACTCTGATTGGAATAGATATAGTTTGATTCAACCCTCTTAAGAATTGGATCCTAAGGCAGGCTGCCAAATTCTCTTACATTTCCTCGCTAATAACGGCTGTAACCCCGTTCTAAAACCAAAGCCCATGTCCATATACACATGCCATGACCATACCTATAATAAATGGTATCAGAACGTACCTCTAAAACGCCGTTACCAATGTATGAGGATCGACCATGATGTAGGCCTCCTCCAAAATTATAAAAACCTCCCCGGTATATCCAGACGCCTTGAAAATTCTTTTACTCAACTCCTTTCACATAATATTACAAACCCTATCTGAGTGATCCGAATTTTTGTCCTTATCTTTAGCATCCGCGTCCGTGGTTTCCTTGCTTCGCCTCTTACCCTTCTTACTACCTTTGCGGGATATTCCACCAATTGCTTCAGCAGGTTTCGCGAGATCTCCATTAGTACTAGGATCAACAGGACCATCTAATCCCAAAGCAGGAAGAGCAGGCACAGCAGGTATAGATTCTTTGCTCGTATCTGGCCTTTGTAGAGACTCTTTGCTTGCCCTTGATATCAAGTCTTTAAAGTAGGACCTGCGGTTTTCTGACTTTTCGTTCGAGGAACTTTGTGGTCGACTTCGAGATGCCTTGCTCCTCCGAAACGTTCTTGAAGTTCTGGCACTGACCGGCTCCTCACCTGGCGTAGCAGGAGCTGATTCGTTGTCTGATTTTTCTACGCTGACACTACTCGCATCCGTGGCCGCAACGCTTCCTCTTCTGTCATCATCAGGAAGATTAAGGCTTCTACGGGATCGATCAATTTCGGATGAAAATCTGACAACAGAATTCGAACGATCATTAGGTGGCGGGGTAAAATATCCTTCGTCATCGCCGCTGCCACTGTTTAAATCTGGGCTGGCCTTTGAAATCTGTACATCTATACTTGGAACAGAAGAATATGTGTACGATGGAGGTGTCGTGTTTTCAGAAAATCTTGCCAAATCTTCTGGGGAAAGGTTCGCTAGTATAGGAACAAATTCATACCACAGAGTGACCGGCATTCCGTATTTGCTGTCCTGCTTTAGAGCTGCATCAATGTCTACCTTGGCTACTCGTCCCCCCCTTGCAATGTCATCGTGGACTATCCAGCAGTCATCAACATAAGCTGGTGGATGTTGACCATCTTTCGGTTGTACAGAGTCCAAGTCACCATTAGTCTCCACATCTAAGCGAATTAGCGATCTATAATGTCCACTTTCGAGTGATCCTTCGTGGCAAATCATCGATCGAAGTACTAGCTCGAAACAATCTGAGATTGCTATCTCGTTTGATCCTTCATATTCATGGACCAAGTGTGGTGGTAGTTTCATTTTCTTTGGGATATCAACATGGGTGTTATTCTTTTTCAGAATTTCTTTGCCGTCTGGTCCCTCAACATTGTGATATCTTTTCAGATCAAATCCTAGCATTGGATGATGGTTTTGTTTGATCCGTTCAACGAATTCTCGATTGTTTGCAGGAACGGGTTTGGAAAACCAAACTATATCACCAATTAGTACAGGTACAGTCTTAAGTGGAGCAATATTTGAATTTAAATGGCAAGAACTAGGAGACCAACTACTGGACGGACGAATCAGCTTAGATAATATGAACGCGTCGACTTCTCTTTCTTTACGAGTAGACATACGACTCGTCGTACGATTTAATGACCCTCCATCATGTGTGACCTCTCGAGTGAGATGGTTTTGGGATGATGACTGGCCATTCGTCTCCATATGGCTTGGAGATACAGTGTCCGATTCAGCTTCTGTGTTCTCGACGTGTTCCGAAGTTGGCTTTTTACTAGTATTAGGTTCGGCTTCTGTGGTCTCCACGTGTTCTGGGACTGGTTTTTCGTCATCGTCGGGTTCGACGCGTCTCTGAATCTTGACTAAAGATAACAAAGAGCGTTCTATACATTCTTCGAGCCGCAAACGACCTGGCCCCTCATGATCGGTTGAAATGGAGATTGGAAGCGTTCGCTCCTTCGAGGTTCTATGATCATCCTTTTCGCGGATACCACCATGTTCATAATCGACTCTCAAGTCAAGCATTGGCCAATCGAGAATATCCCCAATCTTCATGTGTGCCTCAGTCGGGTCTTGCTCTTTGCGTTTATCCAAGTCGTCCCAGCCGCATTCGATCAAACTATCCAGGATGCGTTCGGTCTGTTTGGAATTAGCAAGTCAATAAAGTATATGGAAGGCAAAACTAACAATGTTAACTTCAATCAAAATGCCCGATCTCATAAGGTTTACCCATAATCGGATTAGTTGGATCAGGTTTTGTTTGAGAGGATCTTCATAGAAGTTGTTGAGGAGCTCTTGAAATTGAGTAGGGACTGTAAATAATGAAGCAAGAAAAGAATCCAGCCAACAGGTAACTCCACGAGAATTCTGTGCTCCGAGCATTGTTATTTTTGGATCATATGGATATATAACCCCGGAGAGCGAGTTATGGAACACTAGCAAGATTTGATGTGCTTTCTCGACATTTCCATTGGCATAAATTGAATTCAGACAAAACAGAATTTGATCGTCTTTCACATCATTGTGTCCATCGGACTCCAATAAGCTTCTGATCCGAGAGATCTATTATTCTGTTAGCAAAGCTGTTCGAGTAGTCAACTGTGAACTAGTCCAACCTTTTCCTGATCTTCATCTTGTTCCTTCTCCGACTTCGAATTTCTGATATAAACAAACAACGAGGTAAAAATGTCAGAAACTGATCGACTCTAGGATAAGCAAGAACAACACGTTAGTAATTGTGAATCTAAAACTGTATCGTCGTGTCATCATTGCATCGGAAATGCGCCACGAAGAAGGATGCTTTATGAGTAACTGCCAATCTTCCCGCCCCAAATGCCAGGAAGATTAAGCAAGGAGATATGGATGTCGCAGGCGCATTACCTTCTTCTCTGTAGATTTCTCGGCCGACTTGTTGTCTCTTGATTTGTCTCGTTTGTGTGAAGTCTCCTTGTCCTTATCCTTATCCTTTCTGCCGCCAAATTTATTCATGATGAAGGATGTGTTCGTGATGCTCTCTGAGAGGCCCGTATGTGAATGTTATTGTTGTAAAGAAACCGGTCAAATGATTGGAATAATAGGACCCTGAGTTTTGATTGTTGATTCGAATTGTGTACGAGTAGAAATGGGGTACGATTCAACGTTGGGAGGGATTGGTATACTCCATATTCCGAAGACGAAGTGAATGAGTGACTGATCGCTTTTTGGAACCTTTTCGCAGATGAGTCCGAGGCGTCTTATTAAACTTTTAAAGACAGTGAAATTGATGACTGTTTTTTGTATGATATTCTGAGTGTATGTAGAGAAAGTTTGAAGCAAAAGCGGGTGTTGTTGTGGTTATGGTTGTAGTTGTTGTTTCTTCATTTTCATCGAGTGGTTACCACTACACTACCTAGTACCTACCTACTAGGTAATCTCGACTCCACACCTGTTGTAGTTCGCTCGTTCGTACTGCGTAGAATCTTGGTGATCCTTCCCTCGGTGCAGAATGGAACTTTTCTCCGAACTTTTTTTTAATAAGGGTCGGACGATAAATGATAATGCTAATCCTTGCTGCATGACACGTGCATGGGGTTTGGGAACTATTCAAAGATCCGTCAACCAATCAATCAACATGCGCACTGGCTTGTTCCCTCTTGGATATAATTGAAAAATGTCTTAGATAAGCAAGATTTACTTTGGAGATCTTGTGGCCTGATACGGAAAAATAAGGCACTTGTCGAGATATTTTTTGATATTGCTGTTGGGAGGGTCGATCAAAATATCCCTCGATATACCCAAACGACATGGCTTTACGAGAATTACCTTCGACTTTATGTCGATTCTCGAGGAGGGAAATAAGATCAACACCCGTATCGATAGGGAGGAATTGTCGCAGATATGCATCTGGTGAAGCTTCTGCCGCAAAAGAGAGTCCAGAAGATTTCCAGGACCTCGAATCGCAATCTTCATTTGCTTCAACATCTGTACCAAATGAAGTAATTGAGACTTATGACCCTGTAAAGAGGGCACAAGGGCGGAAGAGAGAACTTCCTTCCAGTCGGTATGACTGCGACAGATCCCAAGTCAGAGAGGGGCAATGCTTATACCTTTTATAGATACCAATTTCGATCACCGAGATATTATCGAGGTCCCCTCCATCCTCATCAACCTCCACCAAAATCAGATCCATCCTCTCGAGAATTCGTCCCTGGTCCATTCGGTCCCAATCGTCTCGAACAAACCTACAAATCAACCATCTCCCACGACATCATGACCATGGCATACGTTCATAAACCACCTGGAACCGTCACAATTCCTAAAGCCGATCGTTTAAGAACATGGGACGATTCATCACCATATCATAAAGGCAGACCAAAGAGAGGTCCTCGTGGTGGAGATGTTTTACGTCTCATCGAACAAGATATTACTTGGCGCAACATTCCTAAGATCGAAGAAGTAACTGTTCATTCGATGGTTAAGGGTGCGCTTGGAGATTCCGCATACATGCATGTCGCCGGTATTTTACTACAATCAATTACGGGTGTAAGACCAGAAATTCACAAATCAACACATAACGTTGCACAATTCGGTATTCGAAAGGGCATGCCGGTTTCTTTAACTTGTACTATGAGAAATAACGATGCATTGGAGTTCCTCGATAAGTGTATCAATGTGGTGTTCCCAAAAATTAAGGATTGGCAAGGTGTAAAGGGTGAGTTTCTTCGGTAGATATGTGATAGAAGGAATGCTAATTTAGATAGGCTCAACTGGAGATGGAAGTGGAAACTTGTCATTTGGTTTTAATAGAGAAGGAACTATTTTATTCCCGGAAGTTCAGGTCAACTACGATGTAAGTTTTACATTGATGATTTGCATGCACATTCAAAAACTAACATAATCTTCTAGATGTATCCACCTAGGTTGATTCCTGGATTCCACGTTACAGTCAAAACCACCGCAACATCCGATCGTCATGCCAGACTTTTGCTTAGCGCCATGGGTGTTCCTTTCTACGGAAAGTTAGTTGATTAAATTCGATCTTTCACAATAAAGTGTATAAGACGATATAAATCATGTGTAAATATAGCATGGAACACAAAATCACCATGTGCAACACGCCTGGCTTCAAGTTTTGTTTTGAATCGCACAAGTGATCGCTTACAAAGGGGATATAAGGTTACTAGAAGAAGTAATCGATCCTGTCATTTGGTTGTCAAGCCCATAGAATAACTGAGAGTACCAAGGCGTGAATGAACACAATCTCGAGCCTTCGCGCTACCTCCTTACCCCTCGTGAACCTCTATCCATCAATTATCTCAATCCCTCAGAATTTCTCTACCACTACGCTGCACCACTCCAGCCTTCACAGGGATAAGATGAAAGCAACACCTGAAATATGCACATAATTCAATTTTCGATATTCAACAAGTCAAACTATGAATCGAATTTTCAGGAGTCTCTGACACTTAATGATTAATTTTATTATATTCCGCTTTCTACATCCACAGGTTGTGGAGTCAAATTATATACAAAAACCACGTGCTCTTCCTTCTAATATACTTCTGATATACCTGTATCATGATATACATCGGCTTTTTCTTTTTGCGCTCATATTCTCTCCCCACACCAGCTACCTGAATTATTTCCCCAGAGTCACATGCCTAGGTATATAAAGCCTCTACAGAATTAAGTCGAGCTCTTCATCTTGTCAGCAAGAAACAAAGCTACATCGAAGTTATGGAGTATGGTGCTTGTTCTGACAACTGCTGTCCTAACTAACAGGTTCGAGCGTGATTTTTGGAGAGTTTTTGAAGGTGTTTTGAATGGGGTTTGGGCTTGAGTCTGCTTTTTTTCGTTATCTTTCATTGCTACTTTATTATTGTTGAATTTTTATCTTTGATATTCCTTGTTGTCGTTGTTGTGGTATGGATTACACAGTTATCGTCGAATCCATTCTCTCTGAATAGGTTGAACAACAAAAAGACAGGTCTCATCACTTTTCCTTACTCAAAAACGCGCAATGCACTATAACACAATCATGCATGCTCAACCGCATGAAGATAGGATTGTTTTATCATTACAGTTTACCTCGCTGATTCCCCAGCCCCTGTGTAGAACAGTTATTGAGCAGACATGGACACCGAGGTCAAAAGTTCTTATATAAGATCTTACATCTTGTGAGGATATTTTGCCGAATTGGGTAGCATGCACTGATTCTCCTCATGATTGATAGAAAACATTATCTTCACATCTCTCTCTGCTCATTCGCAAATTCACTTCTTCTCTCATCCACCAGACTCCATAGAGCGGAGTCCTAAGTCTGTTCCCTGATCGCTATATAAATGTGTTTGTCTCGGAGTTTGGTCAAGACGAATTCAAGCACATTTTGCAGAAGAGACGAGGAGTGAAAGGCGTCCCTGGTCAGTTTCTCTCTTCCTTTCTATTTTCTCAAACTCGCTACAGTAGTATAAATTTGTCTAGGTTTTGTGATGCATAATTTTGAGGAAAATGGACAGTTAACTATCGACAGTACTCAAATTACCTGGTAACAACATTGGTTCAAGCATCAACAACTCAATTTTCAATTGGTGATAAGAATCAGACGAGTGTTACTAGAAAACGCATAGCAGGATGTCTCACCATTTCGAATCTCAATTGTTCCTAGATTTATTGGAAATTTGATGCATCAGTCGTCCTTGCGGAATCTTGCTCCCACCTCATCTTTGATCGTAGTGTCGAGAATGAAGTCGTTGATTGTGCCAGGGAAATCTTGACAATCAGGGACTAAGTACGTATATGCAATTCAAGACCTTTTATATTTCTCTTGTGGCAAAGAGGAAGGGGATTTTTGACGTATTCACTACAGGTAGAAATCAACTTTTGAGGTTTCTTAGTTTGATTTGTAGATTATTGAATCATGCCGCTCTTTTGAGTACCTATGGATGCACATGAATTCATTCTTTTTGCTCGGACGCACATCTCAGGATTGGATTTGAGTGTTATGTAAATCAATACTGGATCATGCGAAAAAGAAAAGTATCTAAAGAACGGAAGGAAACTCCGACTGCCTATGGGATGAATCCTTGGCTCTCTACTGAAGAGCATAGTCGTAGATGAATTCTTTTGGAATCTCAGAATGATGTGTGATTGATAATACTGCTCAAATTGAAACCAGCATTGCAAAGTATTTATTGAACAATAATCGTGCGTTGGAAGCGACAGTCATAAAAATTAATGACAAGTAATGGCACCTCCTTATCATCTCCCATGATCATTCTAAACTCCTAATCTTGACTTATGAATTTGTCGAGATTATGGGAAGCCACTGATACGATAGTCTTTCATTAGACTCATTCCCACGAACTGACATGGAAATCTCATCTGGTCAACTATGCAGAGCGTACACAAGGCGATATGGAAGGTGAGATGAAAGCTTTATATACCCTTCTCGTGTGAAAAATAATGAAAAAGCGGGTAAAAGAAGAGTGGTTGATGAATGCGGGGTTTCTAAGCAGGCAATGAATTGGAGATTGAATGTAACAATGAAGCATGTGGATATTATGAGGGGGCTCTGGATTACTCAAATTGAAAGTTCAGAGAGTGCAACTGATTGGTTCACCATCTGTACCTCTTTTGCCACAACATTTCCATCTCTCCATTTCCAGCTAACTTACCCAAAAATCCCCTCGTTGATAGTTCGACCAGTATATAAACTCCCGCTCTCCCAGCATCAATTCCTCATACACATTCTGAGAAACACTATGGATTCTCCAATATGGAAGCCGCGTCCTGTTTATCTCGCTCACAAACCCTTTACTCTTCATTCCCTTACAGTCCTACTCGAACTTAATTTTGCAACAATGTAATCTGTCAGTGCCTTCTCTAAGTCCAAAAGACACTGCTGTTCTTGAATTACTGTTGTTTTAACACATTTTTATTGCCAATGCTAAATTCACATCATCGAATTTTGGCAGTGGATATTCGCAGTCTTGATTAATTATCCGAAACTCTCAGGATTGTGAAAGACATGGCTACAATTTTGCAGTTTGTATGCATGTTTGATAGAACGCAAAGACTACTTATCCCAAAAGCAACACCATTCTCCGTAGATTCCCTTGAATATGTTTACTGATAGTAGAAAAGTAAGCTTAACGACTGGCTTAAATAATAAAGCATGATTTGGACACAGAAAGAAGGGAGAAGTGGGTGAATGGTTTAGGCGAGAATATGCTACGCATTGAGTGATTGGTCAGATATGCTGGGAGGTGTAGACATTGGGTCTTAATTGTGAAAACATGTGCGTGTGAGTAGAGAAAAGCGAGGAAGTTATATTCACTATTCGTTCTATGGAGCTTGAATGCGCTGGGAGTCCTCTATATAATAACTCTGCTACGCTTGATGTATATTATCAGCCATGGATCAGCGAAGAAAAACAACTCTAATGAGGGCCTGGAGAGTCATTCAATGTTATATAAGATCAATCTACTTTATCATGTGATGGAGCTAGATTAATGTTCTGCTCTATAATCATCGGCTTGCTATTCAAAACTTTGTCAAAGTTTCGGTGGAATTATTCAACAATAACAGTGAATACGCCATGTTGACAGTGGTGATATATGCTCATCTCTAATAAACTTGGATCGGTATACACTTTCAAGGTCCCAAGAAGCTATACCCAGAGTCCAGAAACACAGGAATGACGTGTTGAATACATGATTTCATATAGATGGCCAAAGTCTGGATGTAGCAACCACTGTATCTCCCCTTTCCTCGAAGCAGCTCCAAATCTAAGAGAAGATTCATAAAGGGTGAGATCGATGTGTCAATGGAAACTTGCAATAATGAACAAATTTCAGCAACAACGAAAAGCACATAACCTCGACGACGATTGAGAACTCTTCTCTGAACATGCTGAAGAAGAAACTATTTCTGCTCAATATGCTTGTGGTCCTATCGAATAGTAAACGTTAGCAGTTGGTCTCATTGAGGAGTTTCACATGCTTGCTTACAGTCGTACATTAGAGAAAGCTCCCAGCGACAGGATATATATGTATATATATGTCTTCATGAGAATTCGGTGTAAGAATTATAAAGCGATATTGAGGGCTAGATCAGGGGCGGGGACTAGAGAGTCTCCCAGCAATGGTATAAATAGTTTTCGATTCTCCATCTCACAAAGAGCAGAAATGTCATGATGAAAGGTTCGGGACATTGCATGCTTAGAATCCACTCGGGAAATGATCTAAAAACTAACATTCGCTAGGAATCTGCGTGAGCATACTTCCAAGCTACGCTTACCCCAGTTTCTTTCTTCTGTATAGAAGAGCAAATCAGTTATTCTGACTCTCATTATGCTATTGGGACAATGAAAACTGTTCCAGAGATAATCAATATAGTCATCTAGCGACAATAAAATTAGACACCAACAGAAATCACAAACGGTCAGAAAATAAGAACCAAAACTTATACTATTACTCAATTTAGAACTGACGCTTTTAGCACCGCGATGTAAAAGCTTGTCAGGACGAAGAAACCCATTCTCTGTCCTACTGATTTGTTTCTGTGATAGCTGAAGATCGGGATGAACGGAAGCATTCCAAGACGATGAATGCGAGCTTTATATGCTCAGGACAATGTCCCTAGAATACTAGACAAATGAAAGCGGAGAATCCTGAGGACGAGAAGGAAAATTGTTATAGTGAATGTTAGTTACAGAGCCGTTGTGTGAGGTTGTACAAGAGTACATAAGGGATGTGAATGGAAAATAAATTAATTCATTACCTCAATCATAAGACAGGTGAGAGAAACACCGCAGGGACGATCAACCTTCCTGTGGAAGTAGAGAGAGCGTCGGAATCTTGTCTACCTACGTAGACCTGTCTCAGGTCCTAAGTCAACGGTCACTTCAAAACGAGAGAGTCATATTATAAAAGAAATCGTAACGTCTGATAGATCGTCTTCATGACAGCAAAATCGATCATTGACAATCGAAGATGTGCCTGATTGATGACAATCCGAATATCTCGTCCGTGCATGTGTGCAAAGGAAAGTACCACACCTCAAATCTAGTAAGAGTGAGAAGAAAATCGACTCCTCGCGATGGCTCCGACGAGTTACTCACTATACAGATGAGGCTTGAAGTTTATGGGAATAGAGGGAATTTATTATAGTTCCAAACGTTGCGAAGGGCTGAGCCGAGAAGTGAATATATGTAATGGACTGGGTGTTGGCTTCATACTAAGTATAAAGTATTCTTTTTCTTTGATAAATTGAGTCTACGAACAAACACCATTTTGCAAGACATGTTCCACCTATTGGTCATTCTAGCCCTATCATAGAATTGGACTTAGAAAGCACAGAAGGATTGAAGCTATCCTGTTGCCATAAAACTTGAATTGTGAGAAAAAGCGATTTAAGAAAATGTACGAAGCTCATAGTCTACTCTCCCTAGATCGGTTAATTTGAAGGAGAGTAGTCCGACAGCAGAAGAAGTATATTGAAAGATAGTGGTATATTGAAAGAAAGTGGTATACTGAGAGAAATTGGTATGTTGAAAGAAAATACTAAGAGCTTAAGTGTATCATGGCGACCAATGGGAAAACGAAAAAAGTAGTGAATTTGATGCCCAGGCTTCAAAGTGACAGCCGCAGCGCTAATTCTACGACAAGACGAAAACACGACTGCACTGCAGTAGAGAGGCTTTACATAAAACCAGGGCATGTAATCACCTAGTTTATTGAATCAAACAAAGTATTCAGTCCACGAAGCTTTTGAACATTCACAATTATATCAACACTTCAAGCCATTGAAGTATTTCTTGGTAATTTAGAGCCTTTCGTTATTAGGAAACAGGGCAATGAATCTTCCCCCACGCAAGATTAGACTGATGGCTCTGCACTCGAAGAAATGAAGAGGTGCCCACTGTTGCAATAAACCGCTATTTAACTTCTATACAAACTTGGCTTGTGAAAAGCTGCGATGAGAGTAAGAAGATAAGTCTCACGATCAAAGTTAGGGTCACAGAAAGGAAAAGCCGTCTCTCCTTGACAAGCCCAAATTTGCTTTAAAGTAAAAGCAGTAGGGTTTCGCTGTGTAAGTTCGTTGCTCAACTCACGTCTCGTCACATAACGCCATATCTCCTAAGAAACTGCGACTAGATGATTGAAGTGCAATCTAACGTCTTATCTCTTTTCGATGTTGGACTTGAAAATTGATGTCGTGGAGCTGAGACTTGGGATGATTTTTGTTGGAAGGTCGTTTTGAGAGCTGGACACCACGCTCCGAGACATATGAGATTTGCCTAGTAGCATAAGCACCGCCGTGGCATTTGGAATTTGGTATAATCGACTTCGGAAGTCCAACAGGACTGGTTCTTAACTCGGCTTCCGGGGAATGTTACTACCCTCTCGCCATGCCTAACTATATCATATCCCAGGTGAAGGAACACGCCCGAAAGTAGAATTTAGATTGCCTAATCATGATCGTACCGACCATTTGGGTTTAGGTTCAGACCAACTATTTGACCCGGTCTAGGAAACAACTTGAGTCTTAAATTGTGGGGTCAAAAGGCTGAGGCTGACACATCGTGTGTTTTGAGTCCAACAGCGGTTCATCTCAAAACACATCCTAGACTATGAGCCTCATCCTTATCCAGATATCGCCACCTCAGCCTTATGCGCGATCTATTTTGGTCTCCCTATATCCTACGGGCTCCACGAGTCACGAAGATACAATGTCTATGTCTTCTTGTGGGAAGGCACGTGAGGCTTTCGAACGCTCAATATGAGCAAGGGGAAGGCGATGAGGTAGAAAAGTGGCTTGAATTGTAATCGAGGACCTCGAGGTGGCATGTCTATTTTTGTATGACCGGAAACCTAAGACCAATAAAGTATTTAGAGCAAATGTAGGCCGAGGAGTAGAAGCCGGACCGCATTGATCGACAACTAATAATTCGAAGTGGAGTCGTGATTGGCGTCGATAGTTTAAGGTTTAGATGAATTCTCCCCCCTTATTCAAATATTATAGAAGACCAAAAGAGTAAGAGTAAGATATGTTCTATGGAGGATTTCTTGTCGTGTAATTTTTATATTTGTTATTGGAGAAAGGATGATATTGTGGTCTGATCGAGTAATGAACCTCATTTGCTTATATAAGATCCTTGCACCGTATCAACTGATCCTTTTCCTAAAATTGCTTGGCACCGCCTCCAATGTGCAACCTCATTTTTGATCATCATCCTTCATGATTGGATGTGGCAAGAGGCTGAGTTGTCCAGCAGAGACACAAGTCAGGTTCCTTCTCAGCCTATTGTTGGGTGAGAATAAGATCATGGAAGGGAATGAAATGAAATGAGTAGAATAAGTATTAATCTCCTTGCTACCCTCATTTTGTTCTCATGCTGGAAGTGAATGTAATCTGGCTGCTTAATTGACTCACAAACGTACGACATCACATCAAGAGAAGATTGAAGTGAATCATAAAGGCTCGGGGCGGTGATAGGGAACAAATTCAGCGTCAGACCTTTCAATATCTAAATGTCAAACCCCAACCCGTCTTCGTCAACCCAATCACCAGCGGAAAACCAACAGATTTACGATTATTATTCACAGTCAAAAATGGCACATCAACCCCAACAGCCTCCAAAAAGTCTCTGGGATCGTGAACCAGCAGATGTCGCAAATATGCCACCGGTCTACACTCAAGAATACGAATACAAGGCGCCAGCTCAACCTCAACCTACATACGTAATGAATGATGGAAAGGGTGGTCCGAGGGAAGTGGTATATGTTCAGCAACAAAAGGTCGAAAAAAAACATAACAAAGGTGATGTCGCTGTGGGATGTTGTGCAGGATGTGCGACAGCTTGCTGTTGTTGTGGTTGCAGCGTGATGTGAAGTTATGGCTGGAAGTGTGGGTAATAGGAGTTATGGCAGGCTCATGGGTTATTTTGGATATTGGGCAGCTTGCGAGAACAAATGAATACCATCGCGGGGTAATGGAGTTTTGACATTTTGGAAAACTTGCGGAATACATCGACGTACGAGCAATTAAATTTGGACATAATGGGGAACAGTAAAGATGCCATGGATATTGGCTAGGTTGTCTACGGACAGGCGTTTGATTAAGGAGGTGGTGCCTTGCATCAATGATACTTCGTCAAAAGCTTTTCGTTCATGAGTTTCGTGTATTTCATATTCAAGGAAATTGGTCGATATTGATGATACTCTCATCAACTCGTGGCATCTTAGACCCAAAGAAATCTGAATAGATATCGTAGGCTATTTACAATATACCAGTGGTATTGAGATTGGCCTGCTTTCTTGGTCGTTCTTTCCTTTCATTCTTCGGCCTTTTTTAGTAAATCGTATCTTATTCGTTTTCTACATCATTCCTAAACTCTATAGAATCCTTTGTGCTCTCGATTTTGTCATGCTTATGTCCACTCTACTCCTATCAACTATCGTTGTATCATTATCTATTTTTATTGTTTGTGCCTCATTTCTAACTAATGCCTGCCCTGATGAACGCACAACAACTCCAAAGATCAACATCACAAAGATTGCCCAAAAAAGAAGAAGCACTCGCAATCTCAAATTTCAGTCTCGACCCCCTTCTCGACCCCATTCTCGACCTAGATCTCCCATCTGAAATCAAAGCGCAAATTTTTATTCACCTTGATATCGAAGATGCAGGATTTTTAAGATTGACATCTCGAGCTTGGGCTATCACCGGGACCGAGAGACTGTTCCGAGATGGTTTCAAGCTTCACCCTCATTGTCAACCAACAGATATGGATAGGCTGCGTAAAGTATCCGAATGCCCGCATCTAGCTCAAACAATCAAGTCGATAGTCATATATCTAGATTCGAGTGATGCGAGAAAAATTCTTCGGAGACGAATCGCTAATGAAACTGGCTCCTGTGATCCCGTTCACTTGGCAAAAGCTTTCAGCAACCTTCCTAATTTCAAAAGCCTCACGATCACCTCACTTAGCTATCCGCTTTCGGAGGAAATGTTTCAATCAACCTCAACATGGATTCCTAGTTGGAACTGGACAATCGAAGAAGAGCGAACACGATTTATGGCAGATGATCTCTCTCAATGGTATTACACTTCTAATGTAGCAGCGATCAATGCGGCTGGTGTAGAACTTTTGTCCGTTGAATTTGACTGCCTACCCATGGACTGTTTATCATCCCAGGAATTAGGATCTCCTCCTTTCATTCCCCTACAACCCTCTCTGCATCGACTTTGTCTTTTATCCGAGTGTTCTGGCCATCCATACAGATCTCTCAGTGGTCTAGTCACCCCTCTTGAGCAATTATCCATTGGATTCTGGGACTATGGAGTTACATCCTGGCAGGATTCGCTCGTCGCTCAAAGGATCATCGATCTTTTGATTTCGGCACGACGTCTTCGAAGACTAGATTTAATGTTCGTGATGAATCTCTCCACAAGCATGACACCAGATTTTCAAATTGCATGGAAAACTTCATTCTATAGCATCACAATCCCTCGTTTGGAAAGTCTTCGTCTTCATCAAACAGATATTCCAGGATCCCTTCTCATTTCATTTCTCGAGCGACATGGGTCTACTCTCAAGAACTTACATCTTAGCGGAGGATATGAATGCGGACCTGGTAGCGGCTGGAATCATCTCACACGATCTCAATGGAAAGAAATGCTTACCTCTTTGAGAGACAATCTCTCGCTCCAAAAATTCGAACTTCTGACGTATGACGATAGAAAAAATATATATGACTGGAATTGGAATACTGTTCCGGGTACAGACGTAACTTTTGCGAAGTTGTTGGAAAATTATGTGCTAAGAAAAGGTCCATGGCCTTTCTTGATGCCGTTGGAAAAGACGGAACATGATTATTGGGGTTGGAAAGTTGATGCGGAAGTTTGGGGAACGTCGTGATTTTAATAGTTGAAGTCCTGGAATGGATAGAGAATGGAATTTGTTGGGATACTCACTCATAACTCCTGACACCTGTAGAATCAGATTGGAAACTTTTTATCTTCGTGTAGTATACAAGTGTAAGATCGCAAAACCCTCGCCTACTCTTGCACCAGCGCGGGTCTCTCTTGAAATTTATATCGCCATAGAATGGCATACCCGACCACCAGGGGGTGCACAGACTCACGGGACAACATGACAGGAAAGCACAATTTCACACTCAAATTTATCAATTTCAAAACTCAATCAAAATTCCAAATTCTATTTAATATTATTCAGATTAAAATATATGATTTATAAATATAAGATTTATATAATATATAAAGATTAAATCTTAGAAATAAATATTGAATTTAAAAATCAAATAATATATTTTCTTATTAAATTTTTTGATAAGATATTATATAATCGATTGTATAAATTTGAATTTTGTTTTTTTTTGAAATAAAACTTTTATTATATAAAATTCTTATATTTGAGAATAATAATTCTTAATTTCAAAATCAAATATCAATTTTTTGAATTTTAATTGAATTATCAAAATAGCTCTTTTTGGTGTGAAATTGTGCTTTTCCTTTTAAGTGTCTCGTGAGTCTGTGCACCCACTGGTGGACCCGGCATAAAGATTTGATCAGACCACAAAAACAATCCGCCCAATCAATCATTGTTGATTTTTTCCAGTAGGTACGTGCTCGAAGTTGATTAGTATAAGATTTTAATTGTCAATGTTATTATTGTCATTATTGCTATTATTGTCATCATTTCTCAGTAAACTGCCCATCAACACCTAGAAGGATACATGGGATGAGTATACAGACTTAATTTTCGATCGAAAATCGACTGAACATCTCAAAATGTAATAAGAAACAGCATTCTCCCGCTCCATAGAAGCTTGTGAGGATTTGGCAGCTTTTTGGGTAGTGTTTGGTACTAGCAAAGAACAGTTTCCTGGCTTTTAAATAGAGAGAACTGAGATAATGAAGATGTCCATCATGAAATTGAGACGCTTGTGGTCATTCGCTTGGTAGAGTTGTGTGTGAGGTTTGTTCATTAGAGCTTTGTTGATACTATCCTGCGGCTCAAGAAAAATTCCATGCGTCAAGTTAAAAGGGTCCTCTGAGTTTCCGGGCACCTCTTGGATTGTAAGATTGCAATTATCAAATTGAAGGCTGTGAAGGCGTCTTCGTTCTGCCTCCGGCTAGGTCTAATTAATTCAATCAAGTTTAAGCTTCATGAAGTACACTCGCGAGAAGTGTAAGAAGATAATTTAGGTTGTATATCTCCTCTCTCGTGTCCCGTTCGACAGATGTGGAAAAGTGATAACGGAAAGAAAAGTATAGTCAACAGAATATAACATACGGTAATGACCATGTATTTTTATAAGCGTGGGTGATAATGGTAAGATCAATCAGTCCCTTCATCATGGTACCACCGAGAAAGTAGCCGAGTGACATTCGCGGAACTATGCCAGCATTTGTTCATTCTGCCTATGTGGGAAGTTAGGTTTCACGCTCCGTCTTTTCTTTTATATAGTTGTATATTTGCGGGGTTTTGTCCGTACCAGAGGAGTGGGAAGTAGCATTCACGATTTACTAGTGAATTAACATGAAAGTCAACAGTTCAATGAAATCTTTTCAATACAGGATTCAGACAAGCAGGCGGAAACCGAGTGGGTCCGGTTTATATCCTTGTGAATGTGTTGAGGAACTAGGCAAGGAGAAGTATCAAGTTAAAATCCAGACAATTTAAGCATAAAATAAAGCATACACTCAGATAAAAATACACCTGGGAAAATACCACCAATTACTACACGACACATGAAGGCATTAGAGTAAATTTAAGTTTCAATTTGATTATAATAGAATGTCACAGAATAACTTGCTTCGCCAACGCTTGGAATATAACATCGCTAAATCATCATCTTCCCTCGGATCGATCTCATCATAATCAATCACCGCCTACTGATGTCTTTTAGTTCTCGACACCACCACTAGAGTACAAACTAGCAGCAGGCTTAACATTGTAAGACTTCGAAATATCGACACCGAAAGCCAACCATCCAAAGATACCATCAGCAACAGTCTCACCCAAAAGCGAGTAGTTGATCATAGGATCAGAGGAAGCAGCCTCATCAACCAAAACGCTATCCTCAGAGTTCAAAGTTGTTGGTTGGTTGTTGGTGCTGTATGGGGAAACAGCCTCGACTTGAGTAATCAAATCTTGATCGAAGAACATCTGTCCAACGTGGGAGATGACTCCACCACCATAGGTACCGTTCTCATAGGTCGTTCCGTTGAAGTGGACGAGGACGTGGATGTGGTTTGAGCGAGAGGTGTAGTGACCGGGGAAGAGAGTTTGAAATTGAGCGACACCTTCGGAGTCAGTTGGCTGGAGACCGCGGAGGAAAGTAGCATTGATGTTGGAGGCATCGGCGGCGTTGCCGTTAGTTGAGGCGACAATGCCACTATATACACCGGTAGAGTTACAGTGCCAGATCTCGACAAAGGCGTTGGTGACTGGATCGCAGGTAGATATATCAATTACTTGGGTATCGAGAATGAGATCGACTCCCTCTTGCTCTTCGACGATGTCTGTTCGGACATATTCACCCGAACGTCTGAGCTTAGGTATTAGAATTTGCCGACATTTTTGATTGAGGATAGATTATCAACTTACAGTAAGGGCCCTGAGTGACTTCCGGGCTGAGAATACAGGAGTTGTTTCCGGAAAATACAACAGACTCATCGGTGGTAGTGTCATAGTCCACAGTAGACAAGTGTGTGGTGTTGGGAACAGTCACCTCATCTCTTGCCTTCAAGTAAGGTTGCTCTGTTCGCAAAATGGGTTAGTTTCTCTGCGTGAATTTGTGAAGCAGTGGAAAACAGTGAACTGGAACTTACCAGAGCTGATACCTCTCTTCTTTCTCTCACTTTTAGCGATGGCAGAGCGTCTTGCGATAGCCGCTTGCTCAAGACCTCTAGCCTGCAACTTTGCAGAGCAGTGGCTGAGATCACGGGTCTTGAGTTGAGACATGAAGGAAGCTCTCTCGGCAATCTCTTTTCTAACATCATGACCTGGGTGAGCAATGACAGAGGTAGCCAGAATGGCTGAAATAGCAGCTGCTGAGAAATGCATTGTTGGATAAGTGGTAGGTGATTTGCTAAAAAGGTTGTAGATGCTAGAAGACTGGTGCTAGTGATGCTGAGGATGGAAAGAAACTATTTTTCAAACAAAATGTCGTCGAATTTATATATCTTCTCTCCTCCCCATGTTGTGTCTTCCCCCCTTCAAACCTCTTGCCAATGCCGAAGGGGCTTACGAATTCATCTTCAACTGGCAGTCCAATATCCCCAGGGATTGAGCAAAATAGATTAGGTTTTACGTACCCGTTGCCACTTCAATTGTAACCTCCATCTTTTCACTTGCAAAAGAAGAAGAACAACACCTCGAACAGTCTCCATAGCATGTCACTGGCGACGTCCCGCTGGCGCAAGAATAATCGTAACAGTATGTCACTGCCGGCCTCCCACTGGCAGAATGATGGGAGAAACGCAGCAGACGGTTTTTCCAGGAAAGCTCCATGCAGGTACCCGGCCCCGTCGTTCTTGGCAGCTTATTTAGTACTCTAAAATCGCACTGACATATGTCGAGGTCAGTGCATCAAATAAAGGTATATTTGCAACAAGAAACATTTGATTGGACGGAAGAAAAAAGGATGACGGATCTAATAAACCACATTAGCACGGCATTGGGTGCCCTGCTGGACAGTTGACGCGAATTCTCCTTTGAATAGTCTAGAAAGTGGAGCAAAACGCGCGTTGTGGGCCTTGACATTGAAGCATTGCCGCCAAGGCTAGAGTCGACCCTCCCGCTTAATATCTGATCCGAGGCTATGACTCTCTTGAATATTGAGGTCTGGCTGTGCGGTTTCGTATCTTTATTGTATGATAATATCTGGCATTGAAGTGGCTGTATATGTAGATTCTGAGACGATCGGTTCGTCTCTAAAAAGTCTTAAGGTTCATCTGGTAAAGTCAATGGAAGTACCAGAACGACTTTCGACACGCGAAGATCATGAATATACCACATATTTAGTTGATTGATGCCTGATACTTAATTTACTGCCATGGTGAAGAAGAAATATCTTGATATCAGTGATCGATACCTCGGTCCAGATTCGTCGACTTTCCGTAATGCAACGTAGCCATGAAGTTTAAGCACTTGCAGGTTTTTGGAACTTGTAATCCATTCAAAATGACGGTAGTGATATTTGTCTATTCTCAGTTGATTCTTTCAATCCTCATCAGTGTATGGCCGGATCAAAAATGAGTATTCCTCAAATCGATGCTGTTTCCGCTTTGGCCCAAATAACGCATTTGTAGACAACCGAGTAAATCGCGATTTCATTGAATTCCATCACTTTGAAGCGGCGACCGAGTATGAGGTGACATGTTTCCATAACCAATGCATCGGATGTGATTGGCTTTTCAATGTACCATCATATGAATGTCCAGCCGAGCTAATACCGTACCGATGGGAGGATTAAGCGGCGTGTTATCTCATGCATGGAGGATAATTCTGAGATTTATGTTAGCCTTTGAATCAAACAAAGACACTGTTTCCATGCAATAATTCCTAGTCTCTCGAGGAATTTGCATCAGTGACTGCCAGAGTCATGAGTATCGGAATATTTTCTTATCGATAATCTCTGCGGTGAGTAGGTAGTAATTAAGGTGCCAGTTTCCAGAGATGAAAAGCAGTAACAAGTGAAATAAGTGTCGTGGAGCAGATTGGATTTCGTAAAATCCAAGATTGAGACAATCAGAGGTCTCTCTTGATGCCCAAACAAGAAGCTGTTGGAGTACGTAAGGCCTGAATGGATTCTTGATGATGGAATTGATTAAGAACTTTCCTGGGTAGTTCTCGATATCTTAAATTGAAGGCGGGAAATAAAACCCTTGCCAACGATTCATTTGACCCCAGGAGAAGGGACAGGTGTTCTTGGATACTTCTCTAGCCTTGCCTATATCGTTTTCTTCTTTCGGGATTTTGAATTCCCAAAGGACTAGAAACAACCATTCTTCGTTATGTACGGCCTCCTAACAGGTCTTGATCTGACAAGTTTCTGAGAATTTTTTGTAATGGAATGTGGTCTCGGAGGGAATTCTGCGACATTTGTTCTCCTTTGGGACTGTAGAATGTCATGTGACCTCCGCATCACCTAATCTCATTGGGGTTCATTTTTAAAATCTGAAGATACCTATGAAAGTTTTAACGCTCCGGAAAAGAATCTTAAGTGAGATTCAAGTACAAAAAACGGAGGTCGTTTTCACGCCGAGCTAAATTGAGCATCAGAAGAAATTTGGGCAACTGTCGCAATCTTGTGTCTTTGAGCGTCGAGAGTTGACTCGAATCCTGGCAAAATGAGTGAATTAACTTCCACGAAAAGCATTCGATTCGAATCTCTTGATCATACGGGAGGACTTTTGAGTGCTTAGGCTCTCACGTGCTTGGCAGTAATATCTAAAGTTGGAATTGTCAATTTCCACCCGATTTCAGATCGCGTGATTTGAACTCCGAGGGGCAGAGAGTCAGACTCCGGTACACTTGATTCTGAAGAAATTTGTATGGAACTCAAGTGAAAAAGAAAAATCGTCTCCACCTTCGATTTTGGCGGATAATCTTTGATAAGATCAGTATGACGGAGTGAAAAATGACCATGATTCTGAAAGGTCGATCCTCCGCATTGTAACATAGTGGAAACGCATGGCAGCGGCGTATAGTCTTCAACAAGCCCCGTATTTCGTCATAATAGCATGGTGGCGCGTCTTTTGATGGCCAGTGATAATCAACGTCAGGAATTGCAACAAGAAAACTAAGATTTACATCCTAGAAACAAATTCATGCCCCGGTTTAGATGAAGCAAGCTATTGCAATTTAGGCAGTATACAGAGCAGAACCATAATTTTTCTGCCTACATCATTTGCTGGTGAATGCAGGATGTGATCCCAGTCCAGCATCTTGCACGTTGTTGAAGGAATCAGTGTTCGCGCCCGTCACTTATTGATATAATAGGTTTGCTCGTGTATCTGTCAGCAGAGCAGGTGGCATGCATCACAAAGTAAGTGGCAAAGAAAAGCTAAATATATCCTTGAATGGCATGCAAAGCCAAATACTGCGGCTTACGGGACTGAGTCGTGCAACCACCCTTCCGTGTCGTTCTTTAGGTAGGCCACAAGTGGGACGTCATAGTATTGGGGTACTTGAGATAATTCTGACCCTCAGAATTGATCGCATGGGAAAAGGTCTGCACGCTGGTAAAAGAGCAGGGACTGGCATTAGTTCTGCTGACCTTGGATGCCCAGGTGTTGAAATCCCAAGTTCGCGAGTATTGATATTTGATTAATTTCTCTCTAGATTGGTAGAGCCTCGATTGTTTCATGGTAGAAGACCAGTTGTAGGTGCGATCGTATCGAGATACGGTAATTAATATCTCCCTGGCTCATGTCGTCCGTCACGAGAGTATACCTCGGGGAATCATCCTGTCAAGGCTTAGAGCTAATTCATGGTCGGGTGATGACACTTCAAACGAAGGCAAAGTCCACACTGTCCCTGCTCTATCTCTTTAACACTAAATAAGTGATTTCTTTCGTAGGAAAGATCCTGATTCTGAAGCGGTCAAAGATGTATCGCCGTATGGTCTTTCCGCACAGGGCGGTAAAAACGGAAGGTACAGTGGCAAATGCATCGGTTATGCTGTTGAAGTTCGGTGCAGAACCCCATTTTCCAGCCATTTAATTCCCCATAATGTCCGCGCTACGGCTGTATTCAAAGACCGGCTCGGCAAAGATTGTTATCAGTGGCAAAGGAACGAAAATGGTATTTCTTGCATGATACCGAGGGCTCAATCTGTAACTGTCGCACGATTTTGTGTAGTAAACATGTCACCATGAGACGTGGCACCATGGGTTGAAGATCATGGCATTGTCATACTTATATCTGGGTCTACACTGCGGATGTAATACCCAGATATTTTGAATCCCATTATGTATTTCATGTAACTTCGATTCGATATTTTCAACTCGAATTTTGATAAGGAAATTCGGAAAGCAAGCAATAAAGTTGATCAATCCAAATCCGAATGAAGGTTTCGCGGATCTTGTTCCATCAAGAGGCACCTAGAACTCTTGTAGTCTTGTATCGCGGCCACATCAAACTTTCTTAGAACAATATAAGAGCCTTGTAGTGCCATGTGCAAACGTAACTGGCCACTCTGTGTGACCTTAATCTGAGATCAACACAAATGTGGACAGTAAAATTCGCACTGAGCGTGGTAGTATTTCCAAACGTTAACCCGGCGTGCATTGTGTAACAATTGGCATTGAACTAGCTACCTTGTTTTCATGCAGTGGCCGTCAATTCGTCTCAACAAAGGGATACCATGCATATATAGAATATCATTCTCATCTACACTTTCCAGTTCTGGAGGTCGAATACTACTCCAGTACAAGTAGGATTCTAAGATTTTCCACAGGTACGAAGTAATGGTGGTACGGTCGTACCTTTTGCTTGTGATCGCGCGCGCGCAGTTATGAAAAGATATATTAATTGTGACAAACCTGCATATATAAGCACACAAAATATCACTGAAAATTCATGGTGACACATAGAAATATGACCATAATCGACTCACTCTAATCAGAGCAATCAGAGCACTTACCAATAATGTAAGCGCACATATAGCCAAATCCGTTAACCGAGCCAGATTGATGGGTCACATCTACAAAACTAATGCACCCCACTACGGTCCGTACCCCTACTCCGAAGCTCCTTTTTGACTGAATTAGGTTTCGGAGTATCCAAATAAATTCGGCTTGAATTGTTGGGCACCAATCAACGAGAGTGGAGCTGTAGATCAACTCCGGAATTAGAGTAGTTGTATGTTAAAGATTGAGATTCACCAAAAGTGCAAGATTCGGTAATATACTCCAAAGAGTAATCATCTAGCCAGCCTCGGTTCTTTTTATCACTCACGCAAGGGTGGGGTAACTCTTCTGATTATCAATTACTATCTTTACTACCAAATCTTTAATTCCATACATATATGCATTCGGTACCTATTAAATGACATAGAGAATTGATTGGTATCGCTACACCTAAATAGCTTGGAACGCCTGTCGAAAGCCTTGCCCAAATGTTGGTTATATAAATGAAAGGATGAAGTAATATCCAAGAATGCAAATGATTTATACGCGGTCTCGAATCGATTCAGCAGTCTGTGGTGAAATTTCTCACCCTTTGTCTCGTGCAACTTCCGGAGTCAAGGCATGATCCCATTTACATCGGTTTCGTATAACGGGATATCTATAGGGACAGCTTCGTCCTACAAATGTAGATAAAACCCCCTTCTCCACGGCAAGCACGAAAGTAATTCTTGGCCACATTGCATTTTTGAATTCCTGACCAGTCCACAAAATCCCACTAGTGACTTTATTCCAAAAGTGGGTATTCAGATCCTTCAACACTCGTGTACACATCGTCTTATACTGCCAGACTTCTAGCATTAGCCTGCATAGCACTTTTATTCACATCGCTAAGTCCTCGAAGTTTGTGTTTGCCGAAACATCACTATGTCTTCAAGATCTTCTACCTCAGAACCACCAACACCCTCTTTCTCAAAGCCAGTCCGCTCCTGTGCCAATTGCCACAAGCCAGAAACTTCTATGGGAAGCTTCCCCAGTTGTGAACGGTGCAAAACTCCCTACTGCTCTCGCGATTGTCAAAAGGCCGACTGGCCGACTCACGAACCAAATTGTAAAGAACGCTATAAATTCAGTATAACAATACACGGCGATAACATTCCAGACGGTTTGGATATCGAAGCTTTGAAGAAGAAAGCCGAACAAGATGGTAAAGAGTTCCAGTTTATACAACTGCCTTCGGGTCAAACGGGCGGCGGATCGAAGGGAGAAAAGAGGTGAAAATCAAGCTTGGCAAAAGAAACCATCACATTGATGATTGGACAGATATATTCGATGGTCTGATCTAGTTGTGGTGTAAGATCTTTGGCCAATGCAAGGATCACGGCGAATGATCTGCAAAATGTTGGCAGTGCTGGTACTTGGAAAACAGTAGGAGAATTGTTAGTGGGCGATAGACGATCGCAATGGACTGAAATGAATTCCCATAATAGCTGGATGAGGATACTCAACCATCATAAAAGGCGTGATATAGAGGGCATTCTGGTTCTTGTGTAGGCGGCAAGAGCGATGGATGGTCGGATTCGATGCGACGTTGAGATAGTACGTTGTGCTACTAACATGGCATATCAATTTCCATAGTTGAACAATGTAACATAGAAATGTGACATGAGATACAACGATGTCGGAAGTCCGGAGTTTATACTCAGTATTTCCAATGGGTAGTCAGGGCCCTACAATAAAACCTTTCACTATATGAAGACGAATCAGCTTTCACGACATTTTCAATCGATTTCTCCTCATTTGGATGTTAAAATAGACCCAGTCACAGATGTTTTTTGAATATTCGAACTTACTTCAGATCATTGCACAATCAGATTCCAGTGCTTCACCTATAATAAGTACCACATATCAGCCTGCGCCAAGACACTTATGGAAAGAGGTCTGAAGAAGGGGACCTGTAGATCATATGCCACTCAAGAATTCTCAACTAGGTCGAAGCTCACACACTTAAATCGAGATAGACATCTAGAAATGTGAAGAAAGAGTCAATTGGACTTACATGATCACATTCACCGTCAAGAATTGAAGTGAAGATTATCGGGTCATGAGAGCTCGATGATCAACCTCGAAATAATTTCTGTTCTCTCTGGCATCATTCGATCTCCACGCTCTTTCAGATTGAAGCCCATTTTCAACCTTGAAAATATTTGGAGTCAAAATCATCTTTGATGTTGATAGCATCATTCTCGGATCAAACAACAGGGTCCCTTTTACGAGCAACGTTTCTCTGTCGGATTGTAGACCATCATCATCCACGACAATATCCAGTCTAGAAAAAAATGTTCCTGGACTACAGAACGAACGTCCTGGCTCTTCATTGAATCTCAAAGGTGAGTCCGAGTTCAGAACAACCAAGGGCCAAGGCTTGAGTGCCAACTTCGGAGTATCTATATAGAAGACAACCGAGACACCTTCGGTGACTTCATCTGTTTGGATATAATCCGATCATGCTGGATAGCAGAATCGTATGTTATTGGAACCATACGCCCTGGCGAATATGCGACATTCGCCACACAATATCATTTTGAGACGATTTCTGGCTCATCAATTTTTGTATTTGAGTGAGACACTTTCAAGCATGGATACTTGAATCTCATTTCTTCTGCTCGAGACTTCATGAAAGTTTGTATTGAGTTCGCATCGGATTATGTATACACCTAACCTTGCGCGAGGCAATGTTGTACATAGTGCCCCAGGTGCAAATCCCCAAATTCAAAGACAAAGTTTAATCCAGCAACTGCGAGACGTTTCTTGCGCTGGTCAGAGAAGGTTGATCAAGCGCTTTTTGGGGTTGAGACAACTTACTTCAGAGATTAAAGTTCTGAAGTTCATGTCGAGGAAATTCGTTTTTCATGTCTTTGAGGGAAGAGAGGTGTTGGTTTGGCTTTTTTGTGGATAAGAATGAGTATGATAAGATTCCCGACCTACTGAGAGAATACTGGTCGTACTATGATTGCTGAAATCATGATGTCATTCTGAGATCATGGTTTGAAGAGGATCCGCTCTTGATTGCGGGAGGACCCGAGTCTGAAGCTTACGATCGAGGAATCAGAAATCACCACGTGATTTGCGCCTTCATATGGTGACTTTTCACTCATTTTCATCGAGTCGTGAGTGCATTTCCTGGAATAGAAGGTCATGTGTCTTGCCAAGGAGAAGTGGCAAAATATTTCAAAACTTCATGGCACCTTCCAATATATGTATATCGGGTCGGGTAGCTCTACCCTAATACCTTAAATTTAAGCATATATTCGATCGATATCCACTAACTGTATTCATGACTGAATACGAAGTTTCTATTGGCTCTTATAGTGTAAGCAAGGAAAGATTGAAAGTTGTATACGCGAGTTTTCTTTCCCAACCCTTGAATGGCAAAGATCACGTACGGCTATTGAGTCCACCTTTGTGAGGTCCATAGCAAATAGTCCTTTTATCTGACTCAGGGGCTGGCTTGGCATGAAAGCGTTTCAATTTAAAGATATCATTATGCATAATTTCAAACACGTCAAAGACCTCCTCAGTGAAGCTAGTCTCCAATAACGTCCCCTATCTCTTGTAAATGCGCAGCATATATTCACCCACTCCATAAATACTTCTGTTGAAGTAATTTAATCTCATGTTAGCCCTGTCTGTTGCCAAGCTCCTTCTTATCTTTCCCTCCCTTCGCCCCACTTATCGTCACCCTCTTGCTGACCCCTCCTGCGTAACCCCCTTTCACCCCGGGAACCAAACTTATCCCGTTCAGCTACTCTGGAGTACTCATAATGTGTAAGGCTCCGGGCATGGTAGTTCTGAAGTGTGAACTTGCCCTCACAAAGAACTTTAGAGGATATATTTCTAAGCTTATGGATTTCAATATGGTCCATCATTCCTGCTATGATCATGGCAGTCTTGCGGCGTTTATCAACCAATAAGGTATTGTGGCGCTTATGGTTCTGTGCGGCTGTGGTCAGCCGCAAAGGTTGTACAAACATGACTTCAAATTATCATCATGAATACAATACAGCATTCTCTTGGATGTACTTTCAGATCAACTATGGAGGCATCACATCCTAGAGCAAAGTTGAAATACAAATCTCTCGGCTCTAGAGCCGCGATTCGGTTAGTCGTGATACATCCTGGCTCTGGGGATGAGCCTATCAGATGTCACTTAATACATACCAAGCTAGGTGAAATGGCTTACGAGGCATTATCCTATGAATGGAAGGAAGAAAGTAATGACGATCCGACAGTCAACGTGAGCGGTGAAAATGTCACTGTTCGAAAGAACCTGCATGATGCTTTGGTGCACATTAGGCTCCCCGAGACTGGGCTGCACATATGGATCGATGCTCTAAGTATCGACCAATCTGACACTTTAGAGAGAAATGCTCAGATCAAAATTATGGGGCAAATCTACAGTGGTGCTCTAAGAGTTATTGATTGGCTAGGCAATGCGGCAGAGAACAGCGACACTGCACTCAGGATGCTTAAAGAGATTGCTACTCACGCCACTCTCAGAAGGACTGATGGAACGAACTCCGATGAACACTCCAATCAGCTTATTAAATTGTTCAACGGTTTTGATCATGGGGAATGGAAGGCTTTAGTCGCTCTATGTCAGCGTCCGTACTGGTCACGTATCTGGGTATTACAGGAGATACATCTGGCGAAAAGCTATAAAGTACATTGTGGCAAGGAATCTATTGGCGATAGCGACTTTCATGATTCTATCACAATTTTTCACTATGACAAAATGAAGACAGAAAATACCACCGAGTACTTCCATATCATAATTAAGAGCGCTGTGTCTGCGCATAGACTGGCGAAGAATCTTCCCTCCCATTTTCACACATTGCGTCGCTGGATATCTGCCACTTCGTCTGGAGGATTTGTATCTACAAACCCCCATGATATGATTTATGCTTCGCTGGGAGTTTCAAGCGACTGGCAAGACGGTAGAGTGTTACTCATGCCCAATTACAACAAGCCATTACCAGATCTTTTCTTTGACGTAGTACGCATAATAATGGCAAGGCCTCTTGGAAAGCATTCAATCAAAACCTTAAATCGGCTGGCGGAATGTTTTGAATGCACCACAGATCCGAAAGTCAAGAAATTTTTCACGCATCTAAAACCAGTTCCCAAATATTACTTGGCTCAATTGCAAGATTTGATGCTAAGATTCAAATTCAAGGCGCGGAGGTCTCTCAATTTGAAGCCCATCGGCCAATAATACCTACCAGATCTCTCTGGCCTCGTTATCTGTGGGAAACGGCACCGCAGCTCAAAGATACGGTACAAAATTCTCAAGACCCAGGATGACCAATACTTCGGGCTCGCTCTCCTTCAAGTCAAAAATTGCACAGGAATTTGGCTCATAAACGATTCAACCAATTTTCATCAACAAAACTATTTTTATCGTCCACTCCATAGTCTACCGATGATTTCTACGGCCATTTTATTGATGGGTTTCCAGTTCTTGATCTCATTTTCCAGGTCCTTTTCTACTGTCTTCACTGTTCAAGACAATATTTGCATCACTCGAGTAATTTTTCTTCGTCTGTTCACACATTTGATGTACATTTATATGAGACCCCAGAATATAGAGTGAAGGGGGTAATTACTTGCGTCGCAGGAGGAATGCCTGTAGTGTAGTCAAGACAACGACCCGTTTGAGGAATTTTGTCATCTCAAATTCATATTGAGTACGCCTATCACAACTACACTGTTTCTCTAAAGCTCAAATATACGAAATTAATTTCTCTGACGGGGTTTCCGTTCACTAGAAACTGTATATCTTTCTTTTCAGAAAAATTATCTGCTCTCCACGTGATGAACGACAGTGAGATTTTGAGAGACAAAACAAGTGCCTAGAATCCACAGAACCAGTATGTGTTCTCAAGTACTGCCTATGTCCCATGCCTAGATACATGCTTTTACTTGTGTAACGGTAAAGAAACCAGCAAAATGCACGGATTCGCCATGACTTACGAGACAATCGCGTCATTATTATATCGTTTTACGACATCTATTCGCAAAAAACAAAAAAAAGACAACAACGATAGAAGGTGCAAATTCGGGGAAGCTAGAGCCTCATCTCGGTCGATGTATCCCTTAACCATGAATCAAGGTGAGGGATATCTTGTCAGTTATTGCCAGAACAATAAATTTTTGATTTCTTCGCCTTTATCATTTTTCCACCCTCATCTTCTCCTCATTAACTCTACATCAAGTTACGAAGAACTTATGAAATAAGTATTATGTGTAGAATAAGCTATCGATAAGAAGTTGGAGTCTGTGATGCAGATGAGGGGCACCACCTAGCCATATTCATGTTAGATTGCTGATAATTGCTCGAAACATTGGTGGAGCGATGTGCGATTATTGAGGCCTGGTGATTTATGGAGTACTAGTCCTGCTCCTGCTGCCACGGCCGAAACTTCAAGAAAGACGGCAAAACGTTAAATACAGCTCGATGCCCCTATTCGTCAAGAGAAACTCGAAGTCTCATGATCCTTCCTAGAGAGCCTCACTAGTTCTTGCTAAAGTATATCTGAATGTCTACTCGGGTCTTTGGTCTGAAAACAATGTAACAATATTTTCGCATACTTCACCTGCTACGGCGTGCTCGAATGAAACTCTAATCTGCCCTCCTCATATCGGAAGTATCGCATAAACTATTTTTGGCACGTGTGGTTTTGTATTTGTCCTTTGAATTTGTGAATGCAGTGAAGTCTAGATGAATAAAGTTTGAGAAAAATGACATCCAATGTATCCAAATACATCGACGCACAACTGAGCGAAATGCTTTCAAGGGTTTCTTACATTAGATGCGAATTATCATTTTGGATTTGAAACACTGACACTATCAGAGAGCTTGGAAGTTGTTGACACAACAGTTATCTGCTGACACAATCATATCCAACCATTAAATTTCTCCTCTGTTTCTACGGCCGCCAACCCTAAACTAAACCCGGTACTCGTCTGTCGTAATATCAAATCCGTATTGACATCCTCCACCTTTCTGGCGACAGCCGTAAGGGCATTAGCCAAATGATATCCACCTCTAGAGCTTGCAGTCGCAAGCGAGCTCAAATCATTATAATCAAAAGTTGTAAGATGAGTCCAGCCCCGAGTTCTGAAGGCTTCCAGTACAGCTATAAGAATAATTGCAAGATTGACCAAGAAAACAGAGTATACATAAACAGGTTGGCCGAGGCGAACTGCCGCGTAAGTGACTGTCGCATTGACGGTCTTTGTATCGTTCGCAATCATCAATTGTGCGCTCGCGTATGCGACCAATAGGTCATCCATCATTGCTGTGACAGAATTCTCGATTCCCGTCAAATTTATCTTTTCATTGATGGAACAGATGCCCTTGAAAGGAGAGCTGATCACGTGGGTTTGATAATCAGCGATGCTGAAATTCAGCGCAGCTCCAATAAAGCTCTATAGAAAGTCAGATCTGCGTCAAGCATTCAACTAAAAGCTATGGGATATACCTGATAAATACCAGTCAAGTCTTTAGAAGCCAACTCAAACCATCGTTCAACTACATGCGTAAGAATCTAACTGGACAGGGTTTGCTGTTCAGAAGGATCCATGTGAGTCACATCTACTCAGATTTGTTTTCCACCATTCAGGTAAATTGATAGGTGATTGCGTCTTCTCCTCCCCAAGTCACCCATAATCCAATAGCCGCGACATGGATCCGATCAATACAAACAGCACTGAGCACATATATGTCGGTATTGTTGAAGGTATTACTTTGACGACTTGTAATACCAGACAATTAAAGCTTCCAAAATGGGTTGAACTGTGTGAACAAGAGCCATTGATGCGCAAGCGCTTTCGTAATTTCATTGATAGATATAAAATCTAATGACAATTGCGCAAGGTCTCGTTCTTTAAAACCATTGGTTAGATGATTATTTCAATCTTGTTAAGAAGCTAGAACAAACTATATATCATTGAGTACCCACAATGACCGCTAAAGTATTTGAACCCTGAGCGTGTTCATTAGGATTATTCCAAAACGCCTTGCCCGGTTCCAATAATAACTTCCAATCAATTCACATCATAATTTCGCAATCCTGTGTTATACACGCTTTTAACTGCGACGTCTATAAGATCTAAGAAACGATCTCGGTCCAGCAAGAGATCTTCCCAATGCCATTCCCGCTTTTGCCGGCGCGAAGGTGCTGGCACTTTCGAAGCGTGCACGCTGAGATATGTGTGCGATCGGAGACCAGCCAGATTTCGAAAGCCCTTGTGGTTGAGTTCTTCCGGTAAGATCTCAACCATTACTGACCGTTCGGGAAGAAACATACCATGAGTCAGGCCGGCTCCATGAACTCCAACTAGAACGTCAGTCTCACGGACTACCTTGACTTGTTCCGCGAAAGATAGGGATTCGAAGTCAATATTTTGGATTTTTACATGGGGATAGCGTGACACGAGCTCTTCTAAGTAGGAATCTTGATCAACAAGTCGTCGTCGGCGTCGATTGATGAAAGTCAAAACTATGTCCCCATCATGAGGTTTCCAAGGATCCACATTGTAGAAATCAAGAACTCGATCAGAAAACGAACGTAGTAACTCTGAAAGCCCACAATCGTGAATTTGCCAGTCTCCTTGCCAAATAGGATTACTTGCGCCCGGCAATGGGATTATGATATTCTCGAATTCTGTCGTCTCGAGAAGCTCGTTAACTCTGATTATCGGTCTCTGTGCAGTCGCGGTCCAAAGATCTATATAAGGGCCGTCCTTATGTTCGTCTAGAATGACTATCTGAGTGTTTTCTATATCTTCAGGTGTGTAAAACGGAGCGTTTGTTTTAGGATCAACAGCCATTTTCAAGAGATCCATGGTCATGAATGTCGACCAAATTTCCATTAAGCAATGCCATAGATTCCCCTCGCCTTCGCGTTTGACAAGAATGGTATATTTCTTTGTGGTAGAATTTGAATTGAATTTTTTAGATACCGAGACATAGTCGTCAAAAATGACTTTCGTGCCAGTGCCGTACCAGTAAGATCGAAAATTGTTGAAATCGGGGTACCCTTTAGCCTTTTCCTCTCCATCCAAGGTTCGAATCTCACATCCGAGATTGAACTTTTTTTGAGTAGGCTCCCATTTTGCTGACTGCCCGAGGCACAGAGTATCTCTACCTGACCCAGGCCACTTGGTCGTGTGGAAACAGGTCAGATTCGTAGAGGAACCAGGCTTACAGTATGCAGTCGCAGTATCACGCGTATTCTCAAGATATGGACGACCATAACGTTCGGCACAGAAGGAAGAGTGGTAAGGTTGAATATTGTATTCAGTGGGCGCATTTATCTTCGAATTTGGAGGAACAGGTTGTGCCTGGATCTCATTCTGGCTCGGCCATTCCGGAAGTGCATACCGAATTGGAGCTTCCCTCGATGGATGATAGAAAAAAAAGATAACAACCAAGAGAAGCAAAGCGACAGATACAAGAGCTATAGTTCTGAACCTTTGCAATGGGAGAGAAGCGATCATTTTCACGTTTATTCTATACAAAGAATGAATGATAGCCGTGAGGATTATAAAGTATAAGATAATCTCCCAAGGTGCAATATGCTCGAGGGATAAACATTGCCTCGTACACGGAGCGCTAAGCGCCTGAGACTATAGCGACCTTCTCACTTCAGCTAATTTCTGCGTTTCCGGCCGTTCCATGCTGCTAGGCCCCACAGTCATGATGACGGGGCCAGCACGAGCCTATAGGAGAGCCGATAAAGCCCTACCCCCGCCTCCCATTCCGTCCCCTGTTCTCCCCTTAACTCTGATACCCGTGGTTATTCACGAATTGTACACCAAGATGCAAGAGACGAAACGTACCATTACCCCTATTGCCGCGCGCAAGTGTGACATGAAATAGATGTCGTATTCAATCTATAAGTAAGCGCAACTTTAGATCGCAACTAAGTATACCTTCACTACTATGTAGGGGAGGACTAGTTCTTCTTGCCGCAAAATCTAGTCTTGCATACCGGTCTCAACGGTTAGTTCTTAAGCTGAAATTTTTTGTTTGTTTAATGACATGCCAACTTTGCTGTGATTTGCTGATAAGTTCAGGGACCCTTGTAGGTGCAGGACCTTGCTTTGTTGTCGTATAATATCAACCAATCAAGTTCACGTATCATTTGCGTTTATGTCGGTGGAGTAAATTGTGGTTTCGGTTAAATAACCGTCCCGACCTAATTGTCATGTCACATGCATCAATATCCGGATAGCTAAAATGGTAGGGGAATGCACCACTCAGCATGAGGCTCGAGTCTTTATGAAAGATATTAATAAATTTGGGCTTTCCTTGATAATTTAGAGAGATCAGAAAGATCAATGCGTACAGTGGATGATAGGTGATTGCCGGGGGTCAAGTGTAATCCTGCCTTGTGCCTAAGTACCTGGTTGATCTTGCTACTAAGTCCCATAATTTACAAACGAAGGACTCACAACCCAGTTTCGGAGGTTTCGATTTTACAAACTCCTCATAACATTGAGCAGTCATAAACCACCTTTTTCGAAATGATAAGCTTGAGCCATGCGCTGCTTGTGCGTAGTTATTGGATACCGGTGTGGTGGGTTAGCGCTGGTTAAATATTGATCGGATGTTATAGCATGTTCGACCAATGGATCAATAGTTGCTCAGATTCAACGCGACAGTCACCATGATGGTAGAGAAGCCCCTAGTTCGCCAGTCAGGCCTGGGGTCTAATGAGCGAAGTAACCCAGGTCTTGACACTTGCACATTTCCGTTCATCGGGGTTGCCCTATGGAGAGAAACACTTAATTTCAAACTTCACCAACAATAGTCAGTTGCATGTAACCAACATATGTATACCAGGTCGCATGAATAGCATACATTTCAAGGCGTTCTTCTTTCTCCTCAAGACACAGCCTTTGTTGCACCTTTATTCGCATTCCTTTGCTGCTTGTCATCGCTATGGCTTTCTGTGGTCACCTGCGATTGATGTTAAGATTTTGGCTACTTTCTTTTTTTGCCAGGCTTGTATCTGCTGTCTGTAGTGTTCCTCCTATCCCTATACGCATTGGAAATGTGACGTTGTCTACAGGAGAGACAGCACGAGGGCTGGACCTGTCGGTTGGAAGTCCAGAACAACATTTTGCCTTCCTCCCTCAATGGTCAGTTTGCAGATCATCTAATGACGAACTCCGACTTACAGTATCTAGGCCACTAAACAATTCGTTCATTTATGGAACGAATGGATTCTGCAGCAACAGTTGGTCTACCGCGGCTTGCACGACATTCCGTGGTGGCTCATACGACGAGTTTGCATCGAAAAGTCGCGGCGTGCCGACCGCCGATACGTACCCCTCCGACAACTCTCCATATCCTCAACTAGCTATGGTATCTGATAACATAACCTTGAGTTCAAATGTTAGCGTTCTTGATTTTCCCATCGGAATTGCCGATGCAGATTGGGGAGAACAAGGTTATAACCCACAGATGGCCATCGGGCTTGGTACAAACTCGACGATCCTGAATACCCTTTACTCATCAGGTCAAATCGCATCTCGGACGTGGTCCATGTTTTGGGGCCGAACTGGGGCGACAGCAGCGACTCAATTAGATGGAAGTTTTGTCTTTGGGGGTTATGATCGTGCGAAAGTTACTGGATCCAATTATACTCGGAGTCTTTCGTACTCTAAGACATCTTGTTCTTCCGGAATGCTTGTCACCATCACGAATATAGTGCTCAACTTTTCAAATGGAACCGACGCTAGTTTATTTGCTGGAGTTGAATCTGCCGCTATGCAAGCATGCATTCAACCAAGCTTCCCTGTTTTAATGACGATTCCAACCAGTCCTTATTTCAACAATTTTGAGGGACTTACCAATCAAACTATAAATGACAGATCATTTGGAAGGTACTACTATGGTATGCTTTATGGCAATAACTCAAGCCCGTATGTATTCAAAGATTAGTAGAATTATGCGGATGCTAACAACCGTTTCAGTTACACTGGTGACTTTTCTATCACGCTAGACTCTGGAATTTCTGTCCGGATACCGAACGATCAACTTGTGGTTCCCAATCTCACAATCGATCACACGTCAGGCGCTATGGTTGCAAATGTTTCAGAACCCGAACTCGTTCTCAATGCAATTCAATCTATAAATGCCAACGACCTTCCACAGCTAGGGCGACAGTTTCTTTCTGCCGCTTACCTAATGTTAAATCAAGATGCGAATACATTTACACTTTGGCAGGCCAACCCTACCCAGAACGAAGATCTGGTAGCCGTTGATCGCAGCAACAATCTCATAGACGATTTTTGCACTTCACCGTCTACACCAAATAATAATAGTGCTGACGGAGATACTGGAACGTCAAGCAGTGTTCCCATCTCATCTAGTACCCCGTCTAGTACTTCGACTGCAAATAGTCAAAAGTCTGAAAAGGTATCAACAGGGGTTATTGTGGGTGCAGTTATTGGATCTGTCGCTGTGATCGCCATCATCGGGGGAGTCATCATCATTTGGCGTATCTCTCAAAGGAAGAAAAACAATCTCATCACAACAGCTGCGTTCACCGCCAGTATGCCCGAAAAACATCTACCGACATATCCAGAAAATTACCAGACCCAGATCCAAATTCCGCACTTCATTCCTCAAGAGTTGCATGCTAAAACGACTCCTGCCAGCGAACCACAAGAAATGCCTTGAACCTCACTCTCATTTATTTGCCGATGGCATGAACTTCACATATATATTAATTACATTTATTCCGCTAAAGCACTGATTTGATAAGTCTGAAAGAGCTTATCATCGCAGTGTCATAGCATTAATGCTGGGACACAATAAGCTATTTGTGTACAGAAAGACTTCGCTATACCGGACTGGGATATACCGGAATAACTTCCTCATTTTGAACACTTTTTATATAGTAATACCGGATTTTAGGTAAAACCAGAATACCGGATACTTTTTTCGCGAATTCGGTATAAAATTTGGTGGTGAATCTGGTTGAATAAGCTTTTTTTTCTGATTAATAAGCTTGATTTGCTATAGTCACACGATCCTTTTTGAAGAATATCAAAATTTGAAGCTAAAATTGATCAAAACACTTGGACCACCATTATTTATACCGGAATCTTCTTTGTACCGAGATTGATTGATCGAATTTTTCAGTTCGATATAACCAAGCTCTTCTATAGTATCACTTTAAGCCACCAACTCGTGTAATTAGATGATGAAATCAGTTTACTGTTCTAGCTTGCTGCAGATACATATTCGTTATACCCAACAGTAACGTATGTTCGTTGTTGGATCGCACCACCCATTGCTACAAGAAATTATCAGACACGAAAATGTAGACTCAATGTTCAAACGCAGAGCTCAAATGCTTGGGCTTCTTATGTTCCTGGCCGGTTGCTGCATATACAATCATCACCCGTCAAAATTATCTATAATTCACAGCTCAAAAATGAAAACGTGATGTGCTTGATCCCGCGCCACCTCCGTGTGTAAATGATGCTACGCCCATTTTTGGTAAGGGTAAGGGTAAGGGTAAGGGTGTGGTTCGAATATTTATGCAGAATTTTCATCTTCCACTTATTTCTTTCTGTAGAAATGGTAAGGCGGACTCACTAGGGTATGTGGAAGTTACATTATTGATAATTTTTGAGGAGAGAGGTACGACAATATCTCTTTCGAACTATAAGGGGTCTTTTGAGAAGCATTTATGAGGTTTTAGGGGAGATGTATTCCGCTTTTCTTCAAAAAAATGTTAGCACTTCTTTTTCCTTTGTTAGCAATTACTCAAACTAGTGCTTTGAAAGAGGTCTGTAATGTATGAATACAACATACTATGAAAACCTGATCTAGATCGCGAAGTGAGTAACGTGGTTTATCACCGTGTCGCTAATATCACTAGGTCGTTATTCAAAAATACACTCAAACTAAGCTTTTTCTAATAACATAATTTATCAGCATATAGGCCATATCAGCATGTGAACCACTTTCACCTCAATTCATATTTTTCTCTTTTAATATATATTTTATTAATAATCTATGATAAATTTGAATAATCAAGAAGCTTATATACTCCTTATTATTAAAACTATTCAAAAAAACAAAAAACTAAATATTTAAAAGATTATTAAAATATATAATATTACAATATAAAATTAATAGTTTTATTTTTTATACAAAATATCAATATAAATTTTATAATCTTTTAAAATTAAAAAAGAATATTATTATCTATTCACAATAAAGGAGCAGGCCAGTGGAATGCATGTATTATTGACTATATAGATTAATTATATTAAGATAAAATCTAATTACAAAGTAGAAGTGATATATATATAATAGTTTAGTGTATATGTCTTAATTTTCAATACTCTTTTAGAGAGTTTACTCTTTTAATTTCAATACTTAGTTTTAAAGTTTCAGTATATTCTTACATCTTTCAAATATTATTCTTACATATGATTTTATTAATTCATTTGTAATTATATTGTTTATATTAATATAACTAATATTAACTAAATGTTTTTCTATAAAATCCTAAATGAAGTAATAATATATATCAATATACTTTAATCACTTATATAAATATAAATTTTTGATTAATACTAATACTTCTTAATTATCTTTAAGTATTGAAATTTCACTATTATTTCTAATATACTATAATTACTCTAAGTTTTTTAAGAATTGAATTATCTATTACTCTTATTTGATAAACATTATTATAAAAATGTACTCAGTTTTTATATTAAATATAACTATAGATATCTATTTTTTGCTTATTTAAAAAATTGATTTATTATAGAATATTATTATTTTATTAGAAATACTTTTTTAATTAGTTTTATTGTTTATTTAATCTATATTAATATATATTTTGATGGTGTATTATGGGAGGTTATATTCTTTATAAATATCTAATTAAATTCTCTCAAATTCAAAATGTAATTTCTATTTAATATTTAATCTCAAATATCTTATAAGGTTTTTGAGTACAAAATTATAATATTTAATAGAATTAGATATAACTTATACTAATCTCTCGAAATCAAATATAATATTCGATCTAATGTAAATCATAGGGTGAATTATATTATTGATTGCTTATTAATATTCGTTTATATTAATAAGTTTATTATTTGGAAATGTTAATTGTATTTAATTGTAACTCAAGATTAATATCTTTCTTGAGATATATTAATTATAAGAAATCCCAAATCAAATAAGTATTATATTTAGATACTCTTTTTGATTTATAATTAACATTCTTTTTAATTTATTATAAATAATGTATACTTCTAAAATCTTATTAATCTCCCCCAGGTCTTTAATATTAAATTAAGTAAAAAGATTATAATAAAATCATTGAATATCTTGTTTTTGTATAATAATAATATTATTATTATTTATATACTCTAAAAGAATTAGTTGATATGCGTGATTAGTATATAAATATAGATCTATAAGGTTTTATATAAAATCTATTTTAATTAACTTTTTTTTCAAAAAAAAGCTCTAATTTCTATTAGTTTATTTTAGTTTATAAAAACTCCAAAGTATATATAAAATATGATTATAATAAATATAAATATTCTGAGAAAATACTAAATAGATTTCTTTTTTCAAAAATAATTTGATAAATGTATTTTAATATCAAAATAGAATTACTTGAGATTTTTTTTATAATAATTATAAAAAAAAAGGTAAAGAGTATTAAACTGAATTATAGGAACAAAGATTTTGTTATAGTCTTTATTTAAAACTTGACTAAATTCTTTAATTATCAATTTAATCTTAAATTATTTTATCTTATTATTTTTTGTTTTAATAAGAAATATTTATTTTATTGAAATCAAATTATTTTCTTATAATAAAATAAACTTTTTCTAAGTATTATTCTTAACTAATAAATCTATTTCTTTTTGAATTATAATTTACTAAT